GGCCTCACATTCCCACACAGGCACCATATTGGAAAAGATAAATCTTCGTACCCCGCCCCGCGTTCCGATACATTAAAACGATCTTTTTTTCACACGAATCTAAAAATACATAACGCATCTAAACGTGCGAACTCAAACGTTAATTCCACCCATCTGCTAATTCCAGATACAATGTTATAATCCTTATTCATATTCAAAGTCGCGCGTGCATATGAAATTCATAAAGCAAATCTTTTTAAGAGTAACGCAAAAAGAAATGATTTATAAGCTGTCTTTAGAACAAGAATTATGTCCGCACTCATGTTTTATCTCCTTTATTATTGGCAACATTGTTACATAGTGGAGTCACTTAACAAAAATATGGCATATTAAATTGTATAAAGAAAACAGTGTTTTCAGAAAAATAGTTTGGGATGAAAGGAAAGTTGTAAGGGCGTCGTAACTTGGGCATAAAGCTTTTGAAAGGGATCTATGGCGGAGAATTGTTAATAAAGATATAGAGCAAGCGGAGCGACATATTACGGGGCATTAGCGGGGTTTTACGACGATGGGTATGGACCATGAATGCACCCGCAGACAACGCCGGTGATCGATTGATCGAAATGGATCCAGCCATTGTCTGAGTTAGCGAAAGATCACATAGATCAGATTGAAATGTTCGCGCCGATATGATACAATTATTATAGAAATGCATTGGGTGGCAATTTATAGCTTTGTTAGGACCGCATGCAGATGTGGTGAAAAATGAGCCATGTGCGAATTGAACTCAGATAGGAAAGGTCCCATACAATCGTATAAGGTTGAACACGCACTTAGTTTTATTCCATCTATTTGATCTATTACATAAAAACTGTCTAACAAAGACACCGATAGAGCGTTTTTTAATTACATTTACTTAATTATTTGTTGTGACAGCGGCTATAAAAACACAGATTCTGTAAAATTTTCAGCTGGCTATATGATTCATGATGCAGCCCGCTGCTGACAAATGGGTAATGTTTGAGAACTCTACATCTTCTGGCAATCAATTGCAAGATATTTCTATGATTGTTTTGTGCAAATGGTAATTTAAGCCGGCAACAAAAGGCATAGCTTACTTAGCTTAGGTAGCAGCTTTTAATAAGGCTGATCTAAATAAAGCGACACTACGCTATCAGCTATGTTGTAAGTATTTAAAGAGAATCCAGTAAAGAGTGAGCCTAAAAATATTACTTTGAAAATAAAGTAGCGCGCCATTTTGAGATCTGACTAAGCACACCTACACCCACCCACACATACACCAATACTTCACGGTGCGTATCTCAAGCCAGCCGTAAATGTCTGGGCCCAGATAATATTTTACGACGACGCCGAGAGGCGGGGAGACCTACCCTTATCGTACCTACACATGTGCCGTGACATCCAAATTTGTGCACGACGGGCGGCCCCGAATAGAAACTTATAGCTGTAAATAATTGTTTCGTTTTTTGTTTCATAGTTGTTTCATAGTTATTTCGTTTTATAAAGTTTGTATAGTTTAAATGTCGAATACTTCGTAATACAGTCCACTTTCTTTTAATTGGTTNCGTCCGGCACAAAATTTATCGACTTAAAAATATCCCCACAGATTAAAAATAAGATAGGTCCAAACGCCGACCCGGGTCGCTTGATAAAATATTATTTTTACATGTAAAAAAGTAGAAATGCGCCGCGTTTTGGAAGTTTTATGAGGATAGATTTCATCGAAGTAATTTCCGATAGCGACATGTGGGGTTTAAGAAGGTTTTTTGTGGTTGTATTTAGGATTATATACCTACAGTTATGTAAAGAAAATATGTAAGTATGTAGATAGAATTTGAAACCACGACTCTACTCGTACTTGCTCTCACATTCAGGTATTCTTTACAAAAGTAGAAACAGAATCTAGTATTTTAGATGGATATATTTTTTAACTATAATACTGTTTACCAAAATAAATACACACTGACACGGGTGCTCTATCTTTACAATTTTTTGTTGAAAAACTGTGAAAACTGACACGCTCGCAAAACACGCGTTGGCAAGTAAATAACTAATGTGGGAATGCCCAAACCTACAGTTTTGTGATCGGAATAGTAAAATAGTTATGAAATAGGAAGCTCTTGTAAAATATTACACACACCGAACTGGGAAAGACAAAAGAATAACTAATAATGTGAATTAAAATTCAATATTCTAAATTAATATATGGAAAATTTTAAAGAAACGTTAAATATACAAACGTACTGCAGTTTGCTTTGTTATTTTCGAGATTGCTTTCTTGTTAACAATTAAACAGTTCGGCGTTGAAAATTTTCTTTTATTAATTACTTAATGTTGTTATCTATAATTTCAGCGCGTATAATAAGTAGGTATTATGCACTTCAGGTAGGCAGGAACTTAATAAATGCTTTCTGCGAAAGTAAAATAATAAATAATAATAATAATAAATAATAAATAAATATCCTTGGACATTTTACACTGCGCTTCTAGTCCCAAACTAAGCAAAGCTTGTACTATGGGTACTAGACAACGGATATAAACATACTTAAATATTTTTTTTTTGTAAATACATACATATTATACATAGAAAACACCCAGACCAATACAAACAAATATGTTCATGCACACAAATGTTTGTACTGTGAGGGAATCGAACCCACAACCTCCGGAATAGTAGTCCGTTTCGAACCACTACACCAAACGGCCGACAAAAGATACTAACAGACACGAATAGGTCACTTAAACTGAATTTATACCTATTCAACAATTTAGTTACAGCTAAGGGTGTAGATTATGACATTTAGATAATGAAAATGTAGATTGAAAAGATTTCCATTTAAATCGAATTCCCAATTTTTGCAACCGACTATACCAATTTAGTACACAGTTGCAAGAGCACCACATAATGACATTGTTGCAGCCACTGTATCTTCGGACACGGCATTGCACTTAAGTGCATCATTTGACGAAACGAAATGTTTTGTTGACGGACCTACATTGCATGTGAAACTTTGTTGAAAGTTGCTAAAGGCCAGTGACAAGAGAAGTACATAAATCTTTTTTTAAATGCTACCATAGGTACTCCTATCTTTAGTGCGTGTCTGAAAGATAAGGTATTGAAGCTAAAAAAATACACTTTCAGGCTAAAGCCTGAAGGAAAACTTTGCATTTGTCACTGATTATGCACATAACATTTTTCAAGATTTTCATTCAATGTAAGTAGGAAATAGCATTTTGAAATGCTGAGAAGCATTTAGAGCAGAAAATGAAAATAGAGTGTTGTTGTTTCAAGTGAATATAAATTATGCAGATATGTACTAGCTTTCCGCCCGCGGCATGGCCCGCGTGGAATTTTATCTGTCACAGAAAAACATTATCGCGCGCGTCCCTATTTCAAAAACCGGGATAAAAACTATCCCATGTCCTTTCCCGGGACTCAAACTATCTCTATGCCAAATTTCACCACAATTGGTTCAGTGGTTTAGGCGTGAAAGCAAGACAGACAGACAGAAAGAGTAACTTTCGCATTTATAATAATATGTATTAGTATAGAGTATAGAAGTATAGATATAGACTAGTATAGAAGTATAGATAAGATAACGTGATGAATAACAGAGACAACTAGAGACTAGACCTACTGACCATGTTGATTACCTAGACGTTGATGTCGGTGCAGTCCTTTTCCTTTCATGCTTTCCAGATCCTGAACGCACTCAATCTTCACTCACGCACTGTTTTAGTAACACCATACGTCTTTTAAATAGTGAAATTAATATTTATAATATCTGTTTATTAAAGTATCATAGTGACTTGTCTCGGTTGTGTTTCAAAATCGACTAACAGGCCGACGGAGATCACCATCAAGTTATATGAGGCTCAATAAACCAAACCGCATCTATTATTTGGCTTCAGACAGCTGACGTGGAAACAGGCTTTATGACCAGTATTATTATACGTTGACCTGATTCCAGCGTGTTTAAGGTTTTTAATTAGCCTTATTAGAATTAACATTAATCGGGTGAGAGCACACGGCGGGTGTGTAGCGTAGAGTGTAACGTTGTAAGGCGAAATACTTCAAGATTAAATAAATACTTATTATTTACTTACAAATATAAGTACCATTCGAAATTTTAAATAACTTAAAAAACGTATTGCCCTATATGAGAATCGAGTCCACGAACTTTTTGCCGGGCGACTGCTCTTCATCAATTGAGACATTGGTAAAACTTGTTGAAATTTTCATGTGTGAAGTACTTAGGTACCATTTTATTTTATACCTAATCTTGATCTGTTTTATAATCAGCCGTCATCAATTATTAACGCTGATTAAAAACTGCATTGATGAGTACTTAAATTAAACAACTGCAAATACAATTACTTCATAAGGATAAATCGTTTCCATAGTCTGTTATATTTTATAGCTATTTGACACCTACACGTAACTGGGAAGTGTTTAAGAAGCATACCGCCAACTAGTTCAAAACTACGAACAATAAACTAATATTTAACTACAAATACTTAGTCCTAAAGTCACACACATTATCGTAAATATTGGAATATGAGTTCGTTAAGCCGGCACAAAGTGACGTAACAAAACGTACAAACACACCGTGTGTATCCAGCTTATTAACAGATCCTCACTACTTTTAGAGCTTGAAGGAAAACGGTTTTAACCAACGAAAAAAATGCTTACGAAACTTGAGCTCTACCACAAAGGTTTTGAAGTAGAATTTCGAATAGCAGTTTGAGATTTAGAATTGCATTCAAATCAACCGTTCATCGTTTATTGCACCCACAGGCAATTCCATGAGAGTTAACGTAGGACTAATTTGTGAAGTGTTAAATGAGATCGAATTATAACGGACCATCAGCTGATCGGACGAAGAAAGTGAATAGACAGGATTTAGAACAGTCACTAAATAAATAGTTAAGAAACTTTTTGAAATACCTAATGGCTCTAGATAAGTAATAGATATTAAGAATATATGGATATAACTTACTCATTATTTAAGTACGGAATCTTCCTTTTATCGAACTTAACGGCAAGTGAAATGCAGACATATCCCACTTAGGGCTTAGTGCTTACAGGTACAGGTTTAGGCACTAACTTTCACTTGACTCAATAGACGTTATTACTTGTACCGTACAACAAAAAATACGTGGTGAGCAACTGAAATCGAAACTTCGACTGGCAAACTGGGCACCATCACCTTTTTCACCTTGAACCTCGTTTTCACTTTTCGCGTTCAAATAAACTTGTGTTTTATTGTTTTGTCCAATGTTATGCAAATCAGTACAGCCAACAGTAGCGTTTATGGAAGGGTTTCCTAAAACGGTGGAAAAAATTGAAAGGGAAAGGCAAGGGGCCATATTGTAACGTCATGCCTGTTCAGTTTTGTTCTAGGGATAAATATTTACGTTAACCGTGCAAAAGCTTTTTACAAGTTTGCTACCGAATCGTCTTTGTTATTTAAATAAACCCTTTTGCCGGTTTTCGGCGATCTGTTTGTTTGTGGATCAGCATCGGGCCTATTGTTTGTGTGAATGAGTCGCGTCGGGTGCGAGATTCCTTTCAAATTGCTTGTTGACCGCCTTTTTTTGGAGTAGGTCAAATGCGTTTCGGGAAGGGTTTGAAAGTAAGAGTGGTAGATACGCTTGAGATAATAAGCACTCATAACTAAAATGACAATTATTAGAAATATCTAGATAAGTAGTTAGTCTTGGCAAGGTTGAGGATAAGTAATTATGTTTCTATAGATATTTATTAAGGTGTGTCTAAAGAAGATCGACTAAAAAAAGAAAAAAAGTTAATCCTAGATATAATTTCTACCCATGATGTCTAGAAGAATTAACTCTAGCGATAATACCGCCTAAAGTGCGCCTAACTGATTGTTTTTCCTATATCAGCTTTGTGTACGTGAAGATTATACAAGAGGTCATTGCTTTAGAAGAAAATCAAAAAGCTTTCTTAATACAAAATCACGAAAGACCGGAATGTGACAAAAGGTCTTTCGTGGTTTTCTTAAATCTTTAAATCTGGTTCGAAATGTTAAAAAATACAAGCAAAAAATAAATGATTAACAATCCAAGATGCGGTAGTCTCTGATTAAAGTTTACGACGGGGTCGCGAAACGCAATAAACTCGAGTTAAACCCGATCGTACCGAAACAATCTGGGGGGTTACTCCAAAAACGATCCGAGGTTTCGAATGTTGCTATCCCTCTCACGTCAAGCTAGATGCCAGCATGAGCGACGGTGACAGAAAGATCCGAAAAACCAAAACGGCATTTTGAAGTAGCCCTGCGGTTTCGTATCGAACATTTCGAATTGGCCACCGAAGATACGAGCGACGTTATTGCTTTCAGACTTTGGGATTGCAGGGTTTTTGCAAAGATAAGGTTAACTGGAATTTCAGAGATCAAAATACTTGAAATTAACTAAGTTCTGCATATTTTGTTTAAACGATCAATCAAAACTGTATGCGTAGTTGAATATCATCATGAACTATTCTAAATTATTTAATTTATTTTAATGATGTTAGCTTCTATGGATGGATGCCGTAGCCGTTAAAAGTAAAATAAAATGTACTTATTAAGTATGCAACTTTATCAGCATTGACTGAATTATAAGGTAAATAATCGGATTTTTCGGTAGATTTTTTCATCATTGACGTCAGTTCACTATGGTGCAGAAGGATGTATCTTTCTATACTCATCATGGAAGATATCAAGTAGAAACTTTTCCACCAAGATCCGCGAAGGTAAGTGCAAGATCAGCTGAAAGGCGTCGCGTCAGCAATTAGCGGCGCGCTTTGTAAACACCGCGCTGCGCTCGCGCATCTTTGACTTACCGTCAGAAAATTAAGGTAATTCCATGTTGCAATTAGTTTTGCGGGGAATGTGGTGGTAGGTTTATTGCAATCTTGGAAATAACAATCATTCTGCAAATGGATGGAATGGAAAAAGAACAGTTGATTGTTTAGGACACTTTAGTGTTATTTTCTACGACAGTATTTTTACAGGACCTATGCGCCGTAATAATATGCGCTGTGTTTTAATGTAATTCTATACTACAATTATAGCAAGAGGCTTTAATCTATGAGAATATCAGGCCCATAAATTAAACTGCATTTTAACAACTATTAAACTATGGTTTAAATGGGTTGGATATCACGGATAAGACTTGCCTCACGATAAACTGATATCATTATCTGAACTTTGTAATTTTTTTTATCCACAGCGAGGAAGCTCTTGGCCTGTATCTCACCTGATGGTAAGTGATGCAAAATTTTGATGCAAGATTATGTTAACAAGTAATAACGTACCCTGAAATCAACTACGATCAGCACTCATTTAAGTTCACTGTATTTGTTAATCAAGTATAATTTTTCATTAGGTTATAATTCCGCCAAAAAATCGCTTCTCGAAAATCAATATTCACTGAGATATTACTCCGTAACAATGACATTAAAAACTGTGTAACCTTAAGTATAAATTCTTTGCTGCCTCTACATAGCCTGGGACTTGTGTCCATAAGGTTACTTTGTGTCGGGCGAGTCAACATTCCCTGGAATGTGGCACGCGCACCGGCCCTATCCGTCTAGCCACCTACGTGTATCAATATACCGCTAAAATAATACATATTAGCTTGGTAATTATGACATTATTATGTCATTATTATATTTATCAAGATATCACTTCTAAGAGCAAAAGACAAAATGAAATCAAACATCTCATAGGAAAAACTGTTGAAATGGGATGGTATTTACCATGAACAAATTTTTAATAACATATTTTTGAGCAATTGATTAAGTAAACCAACTTTAAACTCGTATTTTTTATGCAGACGTTCGTTCGTTCGTTCGTTTCAGCCAAATGACGTCCACTGCTGGACAAAGGCCTCCTCCAAGGTTTTCCACTATGCACGGTCCTGCGCTGCCCGCATCCAGGCTCTTCCCGCGACCTTTACCAGATCGTCGGTCCACCTTGTAGGAGGCCTGCCCACGCTACGTCTTCCAGTCCGCAAATATCCAAATTAATAAATTAATTTGATTTTTAAACATAAATGCAGGTTCCATTGTTTAATAAAGGCAAACCTTTGTTACGAGTATGATACGCTCACTGGCCATAAAATGAATCAAATTAATGTACAAGTAGTACCTACCTAACTATCATTGAATGCTCGTAATTGCAAGTCATTGTTTTAAAACAATACCAAGTAGGTATAAGTTCCTTTAACTTCTTGTGGAAATTATATCAGTGGGTCTAGACAAAGTGTACATTATAATCGCAAACCAGTCGAAAAGTGGTTGAAAAGCCCCTTTTTTGTATGGAGTTTTGACGGATTCGATTTTCGATTCGATCAAAAAGTGCGTTTTGTCTAAGGGGGCAGGAGTAATTCTGATGACAGTCAGCGTCAAATAGTTTGTGACACCCAAAGTGGCCAAAAAGTTTAACACAACCTTATTCCAATTATAACAAAGACATGTTGCGAACTTTTTGACTACTTTGGGTGTCGCGAACTACTTGAAGCTCAATACTCAATACTCAAATCTTTATTGCATTTCACAGTGTACATTAGGTCTTAAATATATAATTGGATCACCATGAACCCTGTATGGCACAACAACAATGGAGAGGAGGAATTTAAAAAATAATTATTATTATTGTATTAAACTAGATTCTTAAATATTATTAATTAGAACTGCTATTATTTATTTATTGTTATTAATTAAAGCTGCCTGTACGTGGTATGATGTGACGGTGTATCTGAGGTACGCAGGACTCTACCCTAACTTTTTACGCATTGCACCTTTTTGGGTAATAACTAACTACACGTTATTTATATTTGCTGCCTTAATTATCCTATAAACACTCACATAAACCACTAAGTACCCACCACCAGTACTTTAACGTGCCTTATTTCTTTAATTCTTATTATTTTAACAAAAACCATGTTTTTAAATCAAGGAGGTTGTAAATTAACTGAAACGGCTAAGTGGATTGACTCGTCAGAGGACTAATTTAATTTGATCAAATAAGATACCTAAATGCTTCTTTTAATTGCCCTTTTAATGAATGTATGGTCAACTGCTTTTCCTCTGAAGCAATTTATGTACAATTTACTCATTTTAATCATCTTGAAGGGAGATACAGTTTAAAAGAAAAGAAAGGCTCTATTTTATTTCTTTGTTAATATTATGTTGGTTTGATTTATTAATATTTCATGTGTGTAACTTAGGTACACAAACTGTAGACTTGAGCAAATGTCTCTTTCTTTCTCTATCTACCTATATGTAGACGAAATAATTAAACAAAGTTTAATGAGGGTTTTCGCGAATGAAAAATCCGCCAGATGGCAATACGTAGACGCGAGGTCCAAATGCTGCATGATTGGTTATTTTTGACATGACATTGACAGATATGTCAAAATCCACCAATCACGCAGCAGTCAGACCATACATCCACGTCCCGCCATCTAGCGGATCTTTCATTCGCGAAAACCCTCATTGCATTAACTTAATTAACCTACTGTAGAACAGAGCGTGTGAAAAGTAAAAGTACAAAAAGGTTTTACAACGCAACCGTTGCCACTTTATAAAACAAATATTATTGCTCACTTACATCACAGATCTATTATTTAATTATGTATTTGCATTTCGTTACAATTATAATATAATAGGAACCATTATAATTGCTCTATAATAAAAGCCAAACAGAACTCAAATTATCATCAAAATAAAACTTAATAAACAACACCTCTACATTATTTTCAGTCTAGATAAAGATCGTTAATTGTTGCCTCAATTACCCCTGTAAATTAAACTGGCTCGGTTATGTATTGTTAATGCATATGAAACTCTTTTTTATCAGCTCCAAACTGATAGTGATTCAAATTTATTCAAAGCAGTATCTTCATTTGGAGGTTAAAGACTTTTAGAAGTGGAGCTGTATACGTAAAGATTACGAGTAAATATGAAATTTAATAAAATCCTTATAAATTGGCAAAAATGTTTAACGTCATTAAGTCATGGATATTTAAAATATTGGGAGAATATCTTTCATAGGATAATTCTTTCAGTCGTTTACAGTTTTCAGAACTAGATGATGATAGAAATATATTTTTTCATTGCCAATAGCAAATCGTAGAGTTCAAAAAGCAAACAAACAAAATTAT